GCATTCAGAGGATTTTAAGAATTTATAGTTCTCACGGTACAAGGTTAAATGTAATTAACTTATTACAATATAATTTAAAAACAGGACATATATTGAGAGGAAACTGAACATTGAGCATGAAGTTATTACTTTAAATAAAACTCTAAATACAGAAATATGTCGTCAATGTCGTTTAATTTTTACAGAAAGCAATTTTTCTTGAAAAGGGTAAACCTGGTTACACCGAGAAACTATTGCTTTTAAATATCAAAGAACAGCAGTTATCGCTCATTACGTGGGACACATCGTGTGAAGGGTGTGACCTGGCCCACCAGAAGAACTACATCCACAGAAAGATACATAATTATACTTCTTAGGCTTTTTCCCTGGGCGCTCTGCAGGCTCACCTTCATTGACGTTTAAATGAATAATAATAAAAGTGTCTCATACATCATTGTTGTTTTCGTCATGCTTATTCAAATTATCTGCTACATGACTATTTCCTGAATTGGAGCCAAACGTTTCAAGATATTGCCTATGAAATAATAATTAAGTATTTTAATATACCAAACAATATTATATGCATTTTCCGTTTTAGAGGTGTTTTCGACTATTTTACAAAAATATTGTTTTTTCCTCAACTTCAACAAGATTTTAGCACTTACACATAATTCTTTTTTTTTTTTTTTTTTTTTTTTTATAAAGATCAAAAACAATTTTAATAAAAATTCGTAATTTTTTTTTTTTTTTTCATGAACAATAAGTCAAAACACTTGATTTTAGCGTTATTATTCATATTATTTAGTTTCTGAAATTTTAAGCTTGAAATTATATAAAACGAAGAAAAGATCAAAATTTCATCATAAAACTATAGGTGTAAAGAGTTAACTTGGAAATATGTGGATATAGATATTTGTATATTACTAACGATTTTGATTTAATTAAATATGTATAGTGCGAAATAATTACAAAATAGTTAATATGTCTTAAACTTTATTTATTTAGGATGAAATAAAATTACATCTTTTTTTAAAAGTCAATGACTTTAAAACTATTGAAATAAGAGTTTAGTTTCTCTATTAAACTATTTATCACAATTAGAGGCAGAATCAAACAAATAAATATTAATTTAGTTTAGTTATACATAGTGGTTTCTATTCTACAGGTTTGCCAGTTTTAGATTTATACCTTCTGTAAGATAGATCATAAATAAGAGCTGCTTCATAAAAGCAGCTTTTCACTGTTTGTAATCTGATAGCACAATTACAACAATATTATCTTACTAGCGGCCCCCCCGTCTCGGCTTCATCTGAGACTCACTAAATGGAACACCGAAGTATTTTGACATGTGATGTGGAACGTTTTAAGTTAAAAATTTGTGATATTTTTTCATTTAAAAACACATCTACTTCTGACAATTTTCAGAACAAAAATCTTCTTATTAAAAACATATTTGTTTGGAATCAATACAGTTTATTCAATTAAGTAAAAAGCTGTAAAAAGTGATAAAATATTGTGCTATAAAGTACCGTGCATTCCTTATGCCATAAAATAATCGTTGTCCCTAGAAGGCCGTTGATTTGCAGTTTCTCTCGTATATTTTATGAACAGGGCTTTTTTTTAATGCTGTAAAGACTTAAATCCCACAAAAAATATATGATTAAAAAAAATTTTTTTCTCTTATCTCACAACTTTATTACCTCAGCAATGAAGTCTTGGAACTTACTCTTACCTTTTTTTATCGCCACAAAAATACAAATACATATTCTCTCTACTTAAAAATCTGAAATATTCCTGAGATCACTATAAGCTTTATAGTGAAAAGCTGATCTCTTACTTAATGAATTCTTCATTTATTAATTTTGATGCTGCTTTAATTCCAAAAAAATTTTAGCGTCATTTTTTTGACGTCTAAAATTGTATTTATAAGATGCATTTGAAGTTCTTCTTCTAATTCAACTTCTTGTGACTTTTGGTATAACAAAGACTTTTGTGAGCCCTAAAAGCTATTTTTTAAACTTTATTAGGTTGTTACATACTTGTTGGCAGGGTAGTTCAACGTCAATGACCCTGAAAAAGACCGGTGAGCTTTTTAAGTAAACTCTTTCTTGACTGAAGTTTCCAGCTAACGTAGTTACCTCTATACCTTAGGGTGATCTTCTCTGGTCTCTTATTATAATACCACACTTATTGGGGAGAAAACTACAACCTTTGAAGCCTTAGAGCTAGATGTAGAGCTCCTTCTCAATGTCTCCTGATATAACGCCAAAAACGTTGGTGTCTAAAGCACCTTTTTTTTTTTGCAGACTCAGTTGTTTTGGTGATCTAAGGTGGAGAGATTAGTTTGAGATGCTGGCCTGTTGGAGACTGTCCCGTTGGCTCAAGTTTATTTTTCCTTCACAGCTGTTTGGTCCTCTCGAAACTTTAGAGGGGATCGGTCATTCTTGGTTAATTGCTTAGGATAGAGAGGGTAATATAGGGTCGTCGGTCTTTGGTGTTTCTAGCCTTGTGACAAACAACTTCGCTCGTGGCGTCTGCCAGTGAATAACTGACTTGGTTTTATAGTGACCGGCTTTACATAGTCTTTTAGTTGGCAAATAATGTTTTCGGAAATGGTAGTAAAAATTTATTTATTGGCAACATAGTTTAAACTTAGGTGGCCCTTAAAAGAACCGATGAGATTAATAGTTAAGTAGGGGACGTAAGTACTTATATTGGTCCTAAAAAAGACCAGTAGTGAAATATCCAACTATTCCTTATTCCTTCTTTTTGATATTGGAGAGCCAGCTGCGAGTAGCTTGACTCTTATCCTTGGAGTCTCTGTGTACGTCGCTGACCAAAGAATATCTTGCCGTCAGTTCGTTTTTTGGATAGCCAACCGCTCATCGTTAGTCGGAAAAGTAGCCTAGAGAATACCTTCTCTGTGGGTATGCCGTTGGGATGACCACTGAGTAGGAGGTCGTTAAGGCAGCTCGTACTCCTAAGTCTTCCCGGGCTTGTATTTGTATTAAAAAATTCTCTGATGGCACCAGGGCGATTGGTTGAACGGCCTCAAACCTCTAAGTCTTTGAGAAGGTTGTGTTCTACCTTAACACGTCTTCTGATGTTCCACCGGAGACATTGACGTTCCGAACGCCTATTTTCCCGTGACACTCGGTTATCTTGGCGATCCGGGGTAAAACCGATTTATTCTCTTACCCATGAAAAAAGAGTTTCATTGGTAGCCAGGATGCCCAGCTGCATGACTAACAACTCTGTTCTTGGTGTACTACCGATAAATGACTACGACAATCGTTGACTCGATGGGGCATCTTATAACTACTCTTCACTATCTTTGATTGCGGGTGGCTTTAATTTCACCTCGACTCCACCTAGCGGATCCTACTAAACAAAAGCGCAAAGCTATCTTATTTTAGAAAAACTTTGAGCTTATTTATCGCTATTGTTATTAACTTTTTCAAGAAAAAAAACTATGCAAAAACCATCTCGTAAGAATCAAGAATCAGTATGCAAAATTTCAGCAAAATCAGTTCATTAGTTTTTGCGATTAGTAATCACAACGGTTTTAGCGACTTTGCTCTATATATTAAGTAAGATAGCATTCATTCTATCTTTATGCACATCGTAATTTGTGTAAAATTTATGCATTTTATGGTTTATATGCCTTGATCTGACTTCAAGCTCAATAATTTCTGGATGATCTTTCAACTAACATATAGAAAGACAATGGGCATCTTCGAGTATTTTTTTCAGATAAGAAATAGCTCGCTTTAATTAGTAAGTTCCAATAAACAAAAGTTCACTAGTGCAAGCAGTGTTACGAATCGCATTGTAAGATTACGAAATTGCGCCTAATTCTCCGCATTGAATGGTTATGGTAAACAAAAAGAAGGAAAAGAGAATAGATGTTAACTTACTCTTTATAAAAATTAAAATTATCAGTAGAATAATATTGGTCCACTGATCGAGCCTGGATGAGACTTGAGTTTGAGTACATATCCTGAAAAGTTTCAGATTAAACGTTCAACACTCACTGACAACCGTCACTGGGTATATCGTATCAGGATTGTCCTCCGATGTGCACGTCCAAGCGAGATAGTTGTCTCTGGGTTGTCCTTTGGACGAGAGCTCTGACTTCTTGCCGAAACGCATGGCCTTTCATATGCTTTTAACACCTTGCTGCCTATGTGGTTTCGCAGGGGAACGTTAATGGTTGGTTCTCTTATCAAGTCTCTTCAAGTTTCCCTTGCCTTGCTTGCGTGGTTACGCAGTGGAGCGCCTTTTTTTCCTTATCTTATTGCTTTTAGTTTTTTCTTACAAACTCTTAGAATTGAGGCTACATGAGAATTTGAGATTCCGTAATATTATAGGTGTACTTACAATCTAAGTACTATGGTACTATACTATTAACTTTTTTTCACTTTCTTTACTTAAAATTCAAAATTTCTCATTTTTTAATAGCTACTTCGCTTGTTGAAGATTTTTAGTGATCAACACTCATTTTTTTTAATGATAAAAGCTACAGATATTCATAGAAAGTAATGGTAGTTAGATGGTACGACTAAAACTAAAAAATTAAAAATGCAGACACATAAGATCACGAACAAAGAGAAATCCAAAACTTAAGGGTTTATCGAACTTTGAATACCTCTGACCCATTTTAATAGTTAAAAAAACTAAGTTGGATAATTCTATCGAAAACCGTTCTCATTTAGTCAAATTTCTTAAGAAAGTAGGGAGAATAAAATATCAAGCAATAAAGAAGTTTATTATGTTACAAATTACAAGTATCAGTTACACTAAAGAAATCAAAGCAAAAACAGTTGGAATTACACCGAAAAATAAAAATAACTAATTGTTGCATAAGTCCATCATAAAAACCATTATGTGTTTTGTAGGGGGGGGGGGGAGTTACATGGTGAGCATGTAAGAGACCAACCATCTACTTGTGTGTTTACGTCAGCATTCAAAATTCAGTAATTTATGTACTGCTTAAAATACTTATGACAAATATGTTTTAGATGATTTGGCTTGAAACTCCGACGAATCCTCTTTTAAAGTTGGCAGACATAAGAGAAATAGTAAATAAAATCAAGTCTCAAAAACCAGATATTTATATAGTGGTCGATAACACGTTTGTTACATGCTATTTTCAGGTAGTCATTAAAAAATTATCACTTACATGCAAGAAGGTATTGACAAAAATAAAAAAAATTTTCATTCTATAATTTTTATTTATTATAAAAGAAACCCTTGGAGCTAGGAGCTGATATTTCAATGTACTCCTTAACTAAGTACATGAATGGACATTCTGATATAATAATGGGAGCTGTGGTAACCAACAGAGATGATATTGGAGAAAAGTTGCGGTTTTATCAAAATGGTAAGATCTTCGTTAGTAAAAATACATTAGTTTTTAGTAAATTTTATGAAGATAGCGTTAAAATATAACTACTAACACACAACTTTTTCAGCAATGGGTATCATACCCTCTCCATATGACTGCGCACTTGTAAATAGGAGCTTAAAAACATTGGAGCTTAGAATGCAACAACATATGAAAAACGGTTTGGCTGTTGGAAAGTTCTTAGAGAATCATTCATTAGTAGAAAAAGTCCTTCACCCTTGTGAGTTTTAATATTTGAATTGAATACAGATTCATCTGACAATATGTAATGTTCACTTTTATAGATTTATCATCACATCCACAACATGACTTGGCTCTCAAACAAATGTCCGGCTACAGTGGCATGGTATCGTTCTACCTCAAAGGAGATTCAAGTAAATTTCTAGGAGCATTAAAAATATTTACGTTAGCTGAATCACTGGGAGGCTACGAGTCATTAGCTGAGTTACCGTGAGTTAATTAGCTCCTGCAATTTTTTAGAAAACGTATCTTACTTTCACACTATTTTGATATAAGGTATCATAATACATAAAGTCTCATCAGCAGCAAAACATTTTGAAAAGTTAGAGAGCACATTTTTATGAAAAACATTTTGTAAATTATTATCTCTTAAAGAGTGAACAGCTTCTGCATTTTTTAATAGTTTTCTCACGACACTATTTGGAGAAGAAAATTTTGAAAGCGTAATTTTATCGATGAAATAATCGTTCCCATTCATATTCATAAGTTGCTTTAAATAAATAAAACTTGAATTTCATTGAGACTGATACTGCTACTGTTACGATAACTTACTTACTTATACCGATACCAATTTCATATTGGACTGTGATTACTTTCTTATTTTTACATATGTCATGCTTTGTACAAGTAAATCAAATTCTGAAAACATCTAAAAAATTCATACACTAGTGAAAAATCTTAAAAGAAGCTATCCCTTGTGAAAATAAACCTTTTACAAAATGTAAGAGATTAGGCAAGTTTAATAGGTTATAATAACTCAAATACGCTACTCTCTCTACTTCTTGAGCAAGATCATACAATTTTTGTTATTTCTTAAAACATAAAGTAATTAGTTCTCATATATTTGGTTTCTAAAAATCTTAACTTATAAAGATAAAAAATTATTTCCTTTTTATAATTTTGAATGAACAGTTCTAACTGTTAACAACATATTTTTAAATGGTGTCCTTACACTCCTATGAGATACGAGGTCTGTTTAAAAAGTGTCACAAACTTAGAATTTCTGCAAATGTCTGCGAAAATTTAGCTTTACAATGTACGCTGCCACACCGTAGCGTGCATCCCAATGATTAACGGTTTCTGTCGTTATCTATCATTTTCCTAAGAATAGTATTATTGAATAGTTTTAAAAGTATTCTTTCAAACTTATCTTAACCTTTTATTTTCTTATTGATATTGAGATTAGTGTACTCTTTAAGCCATGTACTTTGCCAGAATTTTAAAGTAATCCATGATTTGTGGCTTGCTTGACGGCTTTATAATAAAGTACATATTTATGCTTGTTATTTATTGCTGTCATTAATTCAGACTGCCTTGAATCTGAACGTAAAATATGTTAAGAACAAAATGGCAAATCCTTATAAAAATTATGGAAATCCTCTGGATACTCCGAATTTATTTCTAAAATGTATCCGTGAGTACTTTCGTTGCTGATATCATAAAAATCATGAGGCTGATGCTCAACATCTTCGATCTACTGACATCCACCATAAGGATGTTTTTAAATCATTGTCCAGACATACAAAGGATTTGCGTCAAAATATGCTATATATCTTTCAGTTTCATCTTTTTTAGAGTTTTCCATGTACTGGTTATTAACATCTGCATATCTGTTACAGCACTGACTTATTCCACCTCGTATCCCTTTTTCAATGATCATTACCATATCTATATCAGTAATGAGTTCTAGTGAAATCTGAAAAAATTCTAGATTAATAACTAAAGCACAATTGACACGATATTCTTATTCACAAAACTTACTTTTATTTTTTTAAACATAGCATTCCAAATGAAGCCTGGAGTACTAAAATAGTGAGCAGGATCCAATTTATAAATCTTGAGGCAATAATTTCTAAAGTTTTTAAATATTTATGTTAATAGAAGTACATCAGTTTTGAGGTGAAAATCTGAATACTGTCCAAGAGTTATAGTATAAAAAGCTTTCCATACTATTTGAGCATAGATATATAATCTTTACTTTTCAAGTATGCATCATATAATTTACGGTAAAAATTATCTTTAGATGGGGGCGTTGTTTTTTAAATTTTTGAATAATACTGTATAATCGAATAAAAGTATATTCTTTCTCTTTAGGATAATGACTTGCTTGGGAAAGTATGTATTGTCTTGACTGAAAGCCTTTTCTAGAATATCATACTGCTCCACGTAAGATCCCAACTTATCAAGCAACGATGGCAAAAATCTGTATAAGTCAATAAAGCACAAGTTGTTACTCGTCCCTTTAACGTATTTCGTTGAGAAATGGTAGTTTTCGTCGGATAAGTGCCGTCATCTCTGGGATTATTTTGCCACCCAAGAAACCTGCGAAGCAGGGCCCGAGGAAAGTAGTAAAGCGACGGAGCGATGGTGCTTATGTGACGAATCCTACTTTCCCTACCAAGGGCACACTAGCCTCTTAAAAATCCCAGAGGTAGAAAAAGTAATTTTTCCTGCCTTGAACGTTGTTGAGGATCAGGCGTGTCTTCAGTAGGAAAAATAGTGTTTGCACCTAGTGCGCATCCAACCAGAGCAGTCACAAAGAGCCTGGTGCTTACCCTGATGACATGCACCACCAAGTACAAAAACTGCCATTTTTTCATTTAAGATATAACTTGTACTCTTTCAGGAAAGCCAGTTGTAAGTTCTTGTATAAAAAAGTGGGCATTATAATTGCTGAGATTGTGGAAAACTATTAGTACTGCTTAGGATTCCTGATAATTAGGATTACACTCATTATGATTTGGGCCTGAATACCTGAGTAAAAAGCGAATTGTTTCAAAAGAAAAAGTTTTCCATTAAAAGTAATAAATGTAATATTTACTTTTCAGTAAAATGGCGGTAATCGTAAACTTTTTCATCATTTTTAATAGACTTCACACATATATGACATATATCAGCATCAAAAATAATCAAAGTCCTCTCATTCAGATAATGATCTTATTGGCACTGGATTGTTATACGAGGAAATCCAATTCCAATTTGCACTTATGCGTCCCAAAAAAAATCAAATTGTTTTTCGAGGCCACGATGTAAGATATAGAACAGATGATCCCACGTAGGCATAATTTTTGTTAAATATTTGTGCTATTTTAATCAAGATCCAGTTGATGGTAAATAAGAATCGAATACCATTTATAGTTATAATTTACTACTAGTGTAAACGAACACTAGTATAATACTAGCGAAAGTAATAGCGTGTCATTTGCTTCAAAAAAAATTTTTTTACATCAAATATTGTAATATGCTGTATGATAAAACAATTAAAATAAAATATTTAAATAGTAACGAGTAAACTAAATTTTTTATCATTTTTGATAATTTTAATAACTTCGTCTATTCTTTGCTTTACGTTCATTACAAGGGAACTCAAAATTTGAATTTCGTTGCTTTATACACATCATTCATATAATTTTTTACGTGTTCAACAAAATACTTTACAAACCTTTGAAATAAATTTTTTTTCGTTCTATAGAATAGAATCTGAGAGAATCTCAGAAACAAGGAAACATCGTGTACCAGAAGTTTAGGCGATGTGACATGGGTTTTTATGGTACATAATATTATAGTATTTAATTTCTAATAAATACTGGCTAAAAAAGGACTTGTACTGCTTTTTAAACCAGCTTTTCGTTTCAATGCTGTACAACATAAAATATTTGTTTTGAATGGTATCTGTCATGATACTTAAAAAAAACAGGACGTAATTAGTAAAAATTTAACGCCAACTATATAATTTTTAACTAAAAAACATGCAAATAACTTTTAATTAATTAAAGTTTTAAAAAACATTTGCTATTAAAATTCATGTTACAAATACATCTCACAAAATGTAAGAGATTAGGCAAGTTTAATAGGTTATAATAACTCAAATACGCTACTCTCTCTACTTCTTGAGCAAGATCATACAATTTTTGTTATTTCTTAAAACATAAAGTAATTAGTTCTCATATATTTGGTTTCTAAAAATCTTAACTTATANTTTTCAATTTAACATTTAATGAGTTGTCCTCAATTTTTCCCAGGTATCACTGATAGTAAATTACTATCATTCACTCTTAAGTTTTAAAACTTTTAATTCATTCAAAGGGTAAGATATCTTGATCCTGATCAACATCTGTCACAGTATCTTTCATGTTGTATGTTACTGTACTGTCAATTCAATAATGCTTACAACCAGTTTAAACATTACATGCGTGGAGCAGGATAAGTAGTTAAATAGGGCCAACATGACTCGATGAACTTTTGAAATTATTTGAACTGTTTTTACATCATGTTATTGGAAAACAGAATATAAAATTTTTTTAATGTTATTTTCATAATTGCAAAATGAATTTATTTTGCTATTTGATTTATTAAAGCATTCTACCGTATTTCTTGCACATAAAATGTTATGGCCGAAAATCACATACCTGCCGTACATTTCTTTGACTGTGCCCCCAATAAGTAATACTTAAACTGACAAATGAGCATAATATTACTAGATTCCTTAAATTAAACTCAGAACCACTTTAATGTCCTTTTGTCATGATAGTAAGGAAATAACTGTGACGTCCAATTCAAATACTATTTATATTCCATAACCGTTTATTATAATGTTTGTATGAGTTGTGTTTGATAACAATTTATATGACAATGTTTGTTTGATGTACTTTTAACATAAATTTTCATAGTAATGTTTTTGGGAACTTCAAAAAACTGGAAATTGTTAGCATATTTGTCAAAAAAAAATTATATTATTAGTGTTACCTTTTTAATCATGAAGTCCTGCTGTGTACTAGAGTACTGTTTAATTATCATGACAAATTCCTTACAAAACAACCAGTTGATGTTGTACAGTATCAAAACAAGAAGCTGGTTTAATAAGGCAGTACATGTCCCTGCTCAGTCAGTAATTAAAAAAAATGAATGTTATAATTTTCTGTCCAATAAGGACCCGTATCACAAAGCCTTAAGTTCTGGAACACATTTTTTTCCTTATTTTTGAGAGTTCGTAAAATGAGAAAAATTCATTGTAAAAGTGTGCGTTGAAAAAAAAATTTCATTTAATTTTTTTTTGCCGCGAAAGTGCAAATTTAAATTAAATTTCCTAATAAATGCTTTGTGAATCCGAGACAAGATTCTGCATTTTTTTACAAACCAGGTAGCTGGTTTTTTACAATTTTCAGTTTCCTTTCTACAACAAACGTAACTGGAATGTACTTTTTATCCAG